TTCAACGTTTTCGCTCCTTCATGAATTAAAACTGCATGCAGCTCCAACTCCTAATTAAATTTATCATAAATTTCAAACATGGGGATAAAACTTCATGTTATTTCATACAATCTATTTATCTACAATTATATAAAAATTAAATTATGTTATGCTTAAATTCATATTTTGGAAATTACAAAACTATCCAAATTGGGTTAAGCTTATTCAAAAATCCTAAATTGACAATAAAAAAGCAATAAAAATGCCCAAAAAGTCCAACATATTTGTCCTAATTGTTGGAAAAAAAAAAGGTCTACCAAAAGAACAAAAATGGCAATCCTCATAGTTTTGCTTAATTCATTTGATCAGCTTTCCATGGCAGAGAAAATACAACAGATCATGTGATTTTTCAATTTCAGCCAAGAACAAAGGAGGATTTACATGCATACCCCTCAATTTATATGTTTTTACATGTCTAACAGCTAGTTTGAATTTTTAGAGATATACGCCAACTTATTTAAGTATAGCATGAAAAAGAGCATTTCATGCTTTTGAATTTATGCGTTCATGGAAAAAAAACGTTTTTCTTTTTTTTTTTAAAACTAAAATAGTGAGATTATATTATATTATATATATATATATATAAGAAATGGCTTAAGGATATTAGTGGATTCTCAGTCGTCTCTAATGCACCTAACCACTCGAATACCACACCTTACACACAAGGTATTTGAATCCCAGACCAAAGAGGACTTACAACTGATGAGCAGATGTCCGACCAACCGATTTGAGAATGCGGTGCATATATATATGTGTGTGTGTATAAATTTATATTTACAATACTCAGCTGCTATGCAAAGGTGTATTTAACTAAAAACAATAATAATAATATTTTAATTTTTTATGTAATATTAAATATCTAAATCCTATTAAATATAAAAATTCAGGTATTAAATCAGTAAAGAAATAATAATTGTATAATATGTTAAATAATAATAATAATAATAATAATAATAATAATAGGCATCTACACTGCTAATGGAAAACTTCAATCAAGTATCGAACACTCAGATTTAGGTCAGAAATTTCTTGTATCAACTATTTCTGCACAGATACAATGCTGATACCCAATCAGAAAGAGCGTC